CACAATCCCCTCTTTCCCTCTGGCCATAATTTCTTCCTCAATAGACTTACACCGTGTAACATCATAACCTCCCGTTAACCTTCTGCCCTTCTCACCTACCATCTGCCCTTCCCCCACCCACTGGCAGTCCTCACCAGCCTGATGCCTTGCTTTCTCCTTCGTCCCAAGTCTCCTTCCCTACCTAGTCTTCTGCCTCTCGCATCCTTCCTCGTTCTGCCCTCCTCTCCATGTGTCTTTCTCTCCAGCCTTCTCCTCTCCAGCCTCTTGGCCCCTTCCTCCTGAAGTCTCCCCATCCCTTCCCAGCTCCCAGCTGTCCTTTCAGCCTATGCCTCTGTCTCAGCCTTCTTTCTGCCTTCACTCAGCCCTGCTCTTCGTCCCCAACCCAGCCTCATACCCTCCACGACACCTGCCTTCCTCATCATGGGCTGTCCTCATGTGCCCCCACCATTCTCTTCACTCTGCTATGTTCCTTCTCAGCCCCCCGCCATGTTCCCTATCCTTCTGCCCTAGCCCAGATACCCATTCCCCCCTCCAGCCTGTTGTTAACCCCAAATCCTTCTGTCCTCCCCAGTCTTATGAACCCACCTGTTTCTTGTCCAGCTTACCTTTTCTCTGTCTTCTGTGTTGCCCATCAGACACCACCTTCCCTTAACAGTATGGCCGTCGGTCCTGACCCTCTTCCCTCCCTAGCATATGTCCCTTAGCTCTGCCTGCCTTTTTCTCAGCCTCCTACAGCCTCTGAGCCAGCTGCTCAGTCTAACAAATTCATAGGGTCTTCTGACCCTTCTGACCTGGCTCGGGTACTGTATTCCAGAGCCTTTGGCTCTCTTCCTCAGTCTCCCAACCTTCCTCTGTGTCTCCGGCCTTTCTTCTAAACCTTCTGTTCTCCCCCAGCTACATGTCTCATCTCTGACTTCCCCTACCTGCCTCTCTAGCTTTCAGGCCCACTCTATGACCCCCCTGCCCTCCTCACAGTACAACCTTTTCTTGAGCCTCCTGCCCTTTTTTAGAGTCTTCCACATGGCCCATCCTCCGATCATTCCCCACTCTACCATCCCCCAGCCTGTTGTCACCCTTCCCAGAATCCTACAACCCCTGAGCTTCCTACCTTCTACACCACTCTTCTGCTCACCCCCCAGCCTTCAGCCATTCCTACCTGAACTCCTAGTGTCCCCACGAGACTCCTGAGTATCTGCTCAGCTTTTTGTCTTTCTCCTGAACCCTCTATGATTCCCAAGGTCTACAGTACCCCCACTGGAGCCTCCTGTCTTGCTGTACAACACCTAGGAGTCTCCTGTCCTGCTCCTGAAGCTTCTACCCTACCACAAAAACTTCCTGACTTTCTCTAGTCTCCCACAATGCATGTGAGCCTCATGTCACCTTTCCTGCCCTCCTGGGTGCCCTTTTCCTAGTCCCCACAAGGGTGTCTCTCGCATTCTTGCTGTCTGACCTCCCCCAGCCTGAGCCTCCTGCCCTCTTGCTAAGCCCCACTTCACCTCAGCCCTAGGGGTCCTGGCTTCTCTGGTAACCCCTCAGAATGGAGTTCTGAGAGAACAGAGGTAAAGTCATGAGAGAAAAGCAGGCATCCAGCTCCAGCTTGTGGCAGGTGGTTCATTTTGTCCTGAGTTCCTCGCATGCTCCCAGCCAGACAGCAGTAAGGACTTTACCACCTACCTGCTCCTGCAGACGGATCTCTGGGCTGCACAGAGTGGCCTGCAGAACGTTCTTGCATTTCCCCTTTCTCTTCAGGCTCAATTTGAATTAAACACATTGAGTCCAGACCCTGGAATGAAAGAGAAGCCTCAACTTCAGCTTCTTTCTCTGAACACTGGATGAGAACAACTGGAACATCCTGGGCCTGGCTCTACTGTTGCCCACTTGGTGTGGGAGGAGCAGAGGGTGGTGGTTCTGTCAACGGTGGTCTAGGAGGAGGCTCTGAAGCTGCAGTTTCCCTGATCAGCTCTCTGGATGGCCCCTGCTGGGCTTGGACAGTGCTGTCTTGCACCCCACCCACTTCCCCACACTACGTACGGTATGGCACCTGAGAAAAACAGGAGGCATCCAGGCAGTATTTGGTGTACTGAACTTGAAGATTTTCTTTTAACTTTAAGAGACAACAACATGTGGCAACATCAGAAACGGCATCTCTGACCAGACAGTGCTGGCAGCGCAGAGTTCATCACACATGGAAATGTATGGCCATCCAGGTCCAGTCTCTGAGCTGATTGAAGCTCTTCTGCTTGCAGTACAGACTGCAAGGAGATAAAGTGCATCACGACCCCATCACACAGCCAGGGCACTGTGGAGGAAGAAAAGTAGCCAAGGGGGCGGGGAAAACAGAGGCTCACAGACTACTCAGGGCCAGAATGGGACACGAACACAAAGCAGAGTCCTAGTTCTACCCGCATCTCCTGGCCCAGAGTCCAGTCCATTGCCTTGCCTCTGACCTCACACTATAGCCCATGCCTGGACATGAGCAGGGAGGGGCTTCCTGGAGCAGGAAGTCTAAGAAGGCAGGGCCTCCATCTCCATACTCATTTCTCCCAGTAGGTCAAGGTCCTTATTCGACAGGAAGCCCAGTATACCTGTGAAGCTCCTCCTCAATCATGCAATCTGCAGTGTAAACACGTTCACAGACATGTGTTTATACACACACAAAGCGCTCAGTGAAACTTGGCAGAACAGAGTATCAATCCTGAACTGTGGGAAACAGCAGGGGGCATGTAGTAGCCACCATTCAGTCTGTGTACCTGAAACGAGAGATATGGAGATCTTCCTCTGGGTCCTTGACTCTTAGTGGGCACCCAGGCCACGCTGTCCCTGGGGCCACCTAGCATCTTGGAGGTTTCCATCCTGAGAACCGGATACATGGACCTTGAGCTATCGCTGCCAGAAGAACTGAGGGAAATAGGAGATGGGTGTCCCTTCGGTCATTCCTGGTCATTTGGGCACCCCACCCAAAGCCCCCTGTACTGTCCTAACCGCATCAGTATGATATCCCATGTGATTCCAGGGATGGAGCCCTAAGGCTGAGAACACAGAGATGGGGTGGTGCCAAAGCTCTCAACATCTTCACTTTTCTGGTAGCAGCCCGATCCTAGGAACCACAATGCCATCATCACCAGCTCAGAGGTCTGCATCACAGAACTGCTCAGGAGCCCATGGTAAGCTCTAGAGAGGTGGGACATTTGGCTCTGTTGAGAGTAAATGGCTTACCAGGGGGTTGAGATTCTATTACTAGGTCCTCCACCACAGCTATTCCTGTCTTCAACATGACTTTCCATAGCACACTCCAAGGAAAGGCAGATGCCCAGCTTCCCTAACCAACAGTCTCTCTTTCTCCCTAGGTGCCCTGGCAACTCTCTACTCCCCCCCCCACAACACCGACCTTCCAGGTCGTGAAGAAGACTGCAGAAGGGGTGGGGGAATTAAGGTCCAGGGCAGGCTGAGCCCCCCCCCCCTTCTTCTGTGTGTAACAAGAGCAAACCAAGCCTGGTACTTGAGCACCATTGTGTTCATGAGATAAGGGAATATGTCTCCCTCACAGTGTTACTGGGAAATATCAGTGCCCGAGGGATACTGGCATCTTTTCTATGGCGGGGCCAGAAGGCCTGAGCAACCCCACCACTCTCTAGGCCTCTACCAGAAAGGCCCTTCCTCTTCTAGGCAGGTTCTTCACTCAGCTGCTCCCCGGGCTGCTCAAGAACAGAGGCAGGCATCTCTACATAGGGACCCATCTTGAAATGATGACAGAAGGGAGACATCATCCAGAAGACCAAGGCTTGAAGAAAAAGTCTTCAGAGTTGGCTTCCTGTGCACTCTGCTTCTCCACCCTATCCCGACAGCAGATGCTTGCTGCTGGAATCCTTCCCACTTCCCCAGATCCTGTGGCACACAGCTGCCAGGCTGCTCATGGCTGGAAGATGGGCTTCTGGGTCTCACCAGTGTCATCACAGGTGCTGCTGGGCAGACAGGGAGGATGGGAGAAGCAGGCTGTGGGGGAAAGAGACGATTGTAACCAATATTTCCTGTTCTTTCCTGTCTGCAGATGCAGAGAGCCTCAGGAATGCCCCAGACTGGGTTAGGGGAGCAACAGGGAGAGCAGGGGGAGCAGGCAGAGGACAGTCCCCTGCCCCATCTCCAAGAGTGCAGGAGGCAGTCTGGAGAAGGGCTGCACAGAGCTGCAGAGACTAACCTTGGGCCTGCATGCAAAGAAGGGGACAGACCTGAGGTTTGGTTCAGAAAAGAACTGTCCATTTTATCTGACCACCTGACATAGGGAGACCATTGGACAAATATTTCCTCTTCTAGCACCTTCCTTGGGGGCTCACTTGCCCAATTCACTCTGTCATTCGGGGTTCAGGTTACATCTTAGGAGGCTTCTACAAAAAAAGAGGGGGGGTAGAGAGAGAGAGAGAGAGAGAGAGAGAGAGAGAGAGAGAACTTGAGGCCTGGAAGATGGGAGGGGCTCCCTGTCTGTGTGTTGGTGATGAGCTGACCCTCCAAGATGTCATAGCCACCCAATACCCTATCATGGGACCACCACCAGAGACACCGGATAGCCTTGCCTACCTTTTCAGTTTCCAAGCTTGGCTACGCAGCAGGTGTGCCATGGCGTATTCCCTATTTCCACAAACTAGTTATACCCACCAGACCCCATTTCAACCTGTTCGTGCCTACCTTCCTGCACAGGGCCTGGTAAATCCTGCGGTAGCACCCCCTCTTTCAGGTTTTCCCTCTTTCTGGTCAATCGGAGGCAACAGGTTTGCCAGACTCTGATGATTCTCTGGATGCCGCGGAAAATGACTAGGCTGTTAAGTTTTTTTGTTTTGTTTTGTTTTTTGTTTTATGTGGTATGGGATGCAGTACTGTGGCCCTCCGCGGAGGCCTAAAATGGAGGGACCCAGGCAGTTCCGTCTGCACCCCCCCCCGCGGTCTCTAGGCACTGAGCGGCCCCACGGTCCTTCATGCGTGGCGCGGGGGTGGCGTCGGTGGCGCTCTCCACCAGTGGCCGCCGTTGTGGCTGGCGATGGCTCACTCGATCCGCACCTGCAGGCGGACGTTGAGCATCTCCGAGGCCACCATATAAAAGTAGGGGAAGTTTACACACAGCCGCCAGGCCAGGTCGAAAAAGGTGAGCAGCGTGCGCGTGAGCCCCTTGGAGAAAGCGCTGTAGGGGCCGCGCATCGCCGCCCAACGCGACAATTGCATTGCCAGGCCAAATAGGGCCGCAGCCGCAGCTGCAGCTGACAGGGCTGCAGTCACCGCCATCGGCCTGGCTCACTCTCTCACCTGCCACAAAGCCAGCCCAGGGCGTCACCTGGAACCATCCCACGCTGTAGGCAGCTGTGCCCTCGGGCTCCCGGGTCCCTGCAGCACCCAGTGCTCCACCTACCACCCTGCAGCCTCAGTTGCTTCTGGCCTTCCCGCCAGACCGGCCGCTTCTAGGCTCCGCCCCCTCGCCGCAGGCTCTGGGATGATTGAGATGGAGACCCTGCAGCAGGCTCACAAACTAGCCTCAGAGGTGGGTTAAATGCCTAGCCCCCCTGCACTCTGAGACCAAGGCCTGGACAAGCTGGTTTAGGGACCCCGCCTCTCGTTCCTAATGGCAAGGTCTCTGTTGAGCCCAGGCCCCCTCACTAGACCACTGTGATCCAGCCCCACAAAGTATGAGTTCATCTTCACCTCCTTCCTGGTTGCTCAGTGCTTATTCCTGAGGACCAAGTGAATTAGAAAGTGCTAGTGCCAGAGTTGGCTCCTCTGAATCCCCTAGGATAATGGAAGTGTAGTAGGTTTCAACCACTTTGCTAATGTTGTACAGAAACCATATCCAGAAGCCCCTGCCTATGCACACCTTCATCCTTCTTCCCCAGTTTCCTCAGGATTATGTGGCCAACCAAAACCACGCACCTTTCTTGAATTCAAATAGAACTGTAACTGTACCATGGAGTGCTACGAAAACTATATTCAAGTATTATTTTCTATTATATTTACTGGTGCTGTGTATTTCTGTTTGCAAATTCCAACATAGCCCGTGGATTTCTAAGAATGCCCCCTTTAAACTGTTTATCCTGGTAACTAAGCAACTTTGTCTTGAATTTACATTTGCTCCTTGTTTATGACCCCTGACACAGTAGTGTGCTTAAATGCCCTTATTTTTTTCACCTGGCTTTATGATATGTAAACTAAACTAAACCAAGCTAGACCAAATACAATGAAAGCCCTACCTATTTAATGAAGCAAGAAATCCTCAGGCTTCTGTATGATTATACATTTAAAAGCAGTCACCTTATTGCCTTTTAAGATTTTACAAGGAAGTTATACCTGAGTATTCCTCTCAAAATGCCTGTTCACCATCACGCCCTTTCCTGAACAACTGCTTGCGGGGACCAGAACATTCACATATATTTGGATCATTGTCCTTTTTTCTTGGTCGAGATTTTTGTTGTTGTTGTTTTGCTTTTTAAGGGAAACCTGAAACATTAAAGAGATAGTACAGCAGGACAGATCCACCATCCACGCTCCTGTCTGTTCCAAAACACATCATGACTACAGTCTTTGAGAATTAAGGGTAAATATGGACAGTCATGGGAAAAAAAGATTAGAATTTGTGAAAAACGGATCTGCCCTTAAAATGTCAAAATAATAATGTCCTTCTTTGAAGAAAATATTAAAGTGAGTAAAAAATAAGGATGAGTATAATGGACTTTCTTCTGGGTTTTTAAAAGTTTATTTATTTTATGTATGTGCATAGGTGCACACCTGTGAGTTTATCATGCATCAGGCATGTGCCTAGTGCCAATGAGGCATGCTGATGGAGGCCAGAGGATGTGAATGAACTGATGTGGGTTCTTGGAATCAAACCTGGGTCCTTATGAAGATCAGTAAGCATTCTTAACTGCTGAACTTTTTCTCCAGCCCCCTTAATGTGTTTTCAAAATTAAATTTGAGAGTGAAAAACCTCAAAAAGTAAATGCCAGCTAATGTAATGCTCTCCTTCTGCAGCTAAAATACTTAGAAATGTATTTTTAAAAAGAGGTTAAACAGACCTAAAAAGAGTGATACTTCTAGATTGCTGGGAATGATTTAAAATGCCAATGTTAGCAGAGTGCGAGAAGTTAATATGTAGATTGTAATACCTGTAGTGGACACTGAAATTGACTATATTAAATGCATTATACAGCAGTACAGATAAATAACAATGAAAATTTAGAAGTATTCATGTAATCCACAGTAGGGGAAGAAAATAGGAAAAGGAGAAAGAAACAGAATTAAGAGACAAAGATACATTAATATGTCTTAGTTAAATCCTATCAATACTCATTTAAATTTTGTTTTTGAGACAGGGTCTCACTGTGCAGTCCTGGCTGACCTGCAATTATCTATGAGAACCAGGCTGCTCTCAAACGAGGAAAAATGCCCCTGTCTCCTGAGTGCTAGGATAAAAGGTGTACCCCCACCGTGCTCTAAACAGATCAATTAGAAGACCGAGATTATCAGAGTAGATTAAAAACTCATTTCAAAATGTTTTAAGTAACTTGAAATATTTACTTAACACAGCATAGTTAACAATTAGCCAAGAAATTGAAAAAATATGAAGTATTCAACAATTCATGAAGGGATAAACAGTTTGTGGTCCCCATATACCATAAAATATTCAGTTATTAAAAAAACAAACACGAGTATAGCAGGTGGTCATTAAATAAGGACAAGTACAATAAAATTTCAGTAAACAAATCTTTAGAAAATCCACCCCAACTAGAATAAAACATCAAATATTTTTCAAAAATGTTATGCTTCAAAGAAAACAGACAAGCTTTGCAGTCACATTGTGTCCCATGAATTTTTAACCCCACTAGCCCAATGCTTCACTGCCCTATTCTGCCCAACAATTTAGGAGTGGTTGTTTAGTAAAATTCAGTTTGCCCTAAGGCTGGAGCTTCAAGGGAAAGCAAAGCAAACACCTGCAGAGCTTACAGGCAGAAAACACACGTGCTTCAGTGAGATTAAATTTGTGGTAGAAAGGGACTTGTCGCTAAATAAAAAAAAAGTATTTTACTTCTCAAGGGTATAATGAAAGGAACAGTAATGAAAGCCAGTGATAACTCTAAAAGAGATTTGTTTATGATGGACCTTATAGTCTGTCTTCCAAGATTCAACCAAATCAAATAAATCAAGCCTAGTAACATTAAAAGCAATAGCCTCAACCAATGTATGATTCAATTCCCTTATAGTTCATATTCTATTTTCTCTTTCTCAGACCTTACAAACACTGATTTGTATTTCAATAGGATTTATTTATTATAGAACTTTCTTTATACACTAAAAATTAAATCATAAGGGAACATGTGATTAATACACTGCTCCATTTTTAAAAATCATTATACATCCAAGCATGCCGGAAAATACTTTTAACCTCAGTATTCAGGAAGCGGAGGCAGACAGAACTTGGTGAATTCCAGGCCAAGAGGGTGGTCTATACAGACTGTCTTAAAAAATAAAAATAAAAAATAGTTTTTAGATGGTTTTGACTGCTGTGGCCCATCATCACTGCTTTCTATCTGTACAATAACTGCTCTTCCCTTAATTTGCAATTTTAAGAGAGCAGTTATGAATGGAAAACTGTATATTATGTCCTGTTGTTACACATTTTTTCTTATCATGGAGAAGTGGTTAATGATAAAGAACTGCTCTCTTTTCCCTTCATTTCCTTTCTCAGTAAGAGGGTGTCCGTTTGTTGCCCAAATGCCAAATTTGTATTTTTGATACCCTTACTGCCAAACCTAATGACCTGAGTTCAATCCCAAGGACCCTCATGGTGGGAGAAAATCAGCTTCTGCAGGTTAGGTCATCCTCTGACCTCCACAGGCACGCAGTGTGCACACACATATGTGCATGCAGATGCACTAAATAAATGGATAAATAAAGTTTAAAAGAATGAAGAAATATCAGATTGAGAGCTCATGATACCTTGCTTACATTTATCTCCTTGGTGTTAAAAAAACGAACCCTGGCAGAACCCCTACAAAACTCCCTATGAAATTGTCTGTGATGTGAGCAGCTACGGCGCCTGTTAGGCCACTCGTCAAAGTGCCCCCCAAAACCCACAGGACAGGACTTCTGGCAGCAATTGTAAGCATGAGCACCAAGCACTCAGGGGTAACATGATTTTTTTAAATTACTATTTATTCATGTATGTGTGTGTGTGCGTGAGCGCAAGGATATATATATATATATATATATATATATATATATATATACACACATATATGTATGTATGTATAGTAGTGAAATCATCAGAGCATGCGATCACCCTACATTTAGCTTTCTGAGAAACAGTCCAAGGGGAAGGAGAGTTGCTTTAGCTGCTGTGCCATTTAAACAAGCTCAGTCACAATACGTGAGCACTGTAACTGCTTTACAACCTGCCAGCACTTGCTATTGCTCACCTTTTGAAAAATCATAAACACTAATGTAGATATGATACAGCCATCAGTGTAGTTAAGTTTTTTGTTTGTTTGGGGTTTTTTGTTTTGGTGCTTTGTTTTGTTTTCGTTTGGGGGTTTCTGTTTTTTGAAACAAGGTTTCTCTGTGTAACAGCCCTTAGTGTCCTGGAACTCACTCTGTAGACCAGGCTGGCCTCAAACTCACAGAGATCCTCCTGCCTCTACCTCTTGAGTGCTGGGATTAAAAGTGTGCACCACCACCACCTGGAGCTTTATTAATTTTTATGGCTGACTATGTTAGACACACATGGCATATATGGAATGAAAAAAAATATATATTTATATACAGAAAACTCAGGCCACATAGTGGTGATGCAGCTCTTGAATTCAAGCAGTAGGGAGACAGAGACAGGTGGATCTCTGCGTTCATGGCCAGCCTGGTCTACAGCGTTCCGGGACAGCCAGGGCTCCACAGAAAATCCTTTCTCAAAAACAAACAAACAAACAAAAATACAAAAGAAGGAAAAGAAGAAAACCCGGCAATACACATTTAACTCAGTTTAGTGGCAAGTTCCTTAGCCACAGATGTGGGACCCAGAAAGGCAGAGCTCACTGTGTCACTTACTGTAAATGGTCCTCAGAACCTCCACCAGCTTAACCTCTCAAGTCAATTTGTGTTAAAGGCAGTGGTGGTACATGTCTTCCTGTTCCTGTGGACCAGCTGCCCCCACCTGGCCTTCCTCTTGAGGATGCAATAGGGGACCCCCATCTTGTGACATCAGGAAGGCAGGAAGAGCACCAGCTCTCTAGTGGTTCTGTGTAATC